AACACATTTTCTACTTCTTGTCTGACCACAGATACTAACACATTGCAAGAGGAGAGAGTTAAACAGTGTTCAGAACGTTTGACTGCAAAGGCTCTGAGACCTCAGGCTATTACCAAAATATCTTGTTCTCAAGAAACTTTTCTAAGAAAAAGGCAGGCGATTTCCTTTGGGGACTGTGTCAGTTAAGGATCTTTAGGATGGAAGTGACAGAAATGTAACTTAAAATGGTTTAGGCCAAAAAAAGGCAGAGTGCAGATCTATTGGCTCACATAACTGAAAAATCCAAAGTAGATTGACTTCAGGCATTGCTGGATTCATCTCTGATGGTGTCACCAAAATGTCAGCTATGGGGACATTATGGATACAGTCCTTTCTGGAGGAGGTGGGAAGGATAAGGTGATCTATTCAGAGTTCCTTTTTCCTTATGTGGCTATAGAAATGGGAGGGAGAAAGGAAAGAAAAAGAGAGAGAAAATATTACCCTGCAACACACATGCATCCCTTCTACGACACTTAGATGTCCAGAAATTACTGGCGAGGCTGGACATGTTAGCAGTGGAGTGGGAATTAGTAACTATTTTCTTCCAGGCTGTCAAGCCCAGCCCTCTCTCTGTTAACCATCAACCTAGAAATTCACTTCAAGGGCAGGGAAGGTCTACACACCCATGCTGATTTCCAAAACAGCCCCCCCCCACATACACACACGTTCACACACATATGCACCCACATGCCTGCCACAGCTGTGAAGAATGTGATGGCCCCTATGCAGGTGAGTTCTGGCTTTTGGAGAAAATCCAAGGGTCACAGAAAATGGAGGTACTGTTGGAGGAGTGGGAGCTGACAGGCAGACCTAACCTTGAACTAGGGGAAGCTGACTTGTTAACATTAGGGCTTTTGAGCCTGGGAGAAATCCTTGCCCAATGCCTTCATTCTGCACAGGGGGATCAGAGTCCCAGTGCAGAGAAGTGACTTGCACCAAGCCACAGTGAGTCAGCAGTGGGCAGAGACTCAACTGCCCCCACCTCCCCACTCAGTGCTCCTCTGCTTCCTCTGTCACCTCCTCCAGGTGTCAGTGCTCTCCTGCTCCCCGCTATGGCTGCTCAGGACTGGGCTGGAGATTGGGGGAAAAGGGGAAGCTACAAAAGTCTAGCAGTGGGAGCCATGCTCTCTGACCAGCCAAACCTGCTCTTTCCTGCAACTTCTTCCTTCTGCTGAGAGCCTAGGGGTGGTAGTGATCAGCTAACCAGCTCCCCCACCCCAGCCTTTGCTTGTGCCCAGCTCCCTCGCCCCAGCCTTTGCTTCTACCCAGACTGCCCGCCCCCTCTTCCTTCTCGTGGCTAATTCTTTCCTATCCTCCAAAGCCTTAGCCCAGCACCATGTTCTCCAGGAAGCTCCCTCTCAACTGAGAATTCCTGCTGTGCTCACAGAGCATCCAGGACCCACTGCCACTGTGTCAGTCACTCACTGTGTCATCCTGCGGGGCCAGTGACTGTCTGCCTTTCCCCATGCACTGTAACCTCCTCGGTAGTGAGGACTGTTTTGTCCATCATGAATCCCCAGCTTCCAGGAAAAATATTAGATTTTTACCTGCACAATCTCTGCTCATCCTCACAGTCCTATGAGGTAGACATGAGAAAACAAGAAGAGAGATGAATCAACTTGTCCAAGGTCACACAGGCAGCAAGAAGTTGAAGTGAAATTGACCCAGGCCATGGACTTTAGTCTGGGCTCTGGACCACTATGACCCCAGGCCCTTAATGAAATTTTGTTGAAGGTCACACAGGCAGCAAGAAGTTGAAGTGAAATTGACCCAGGCCATGGACTTTAGTCTGGACTCTGGACCACTATGACCCCAGGCCCTTAATGAAATTTTGTTAAATGAGTGAAAGGTCTTATTCCTTTCTCTGTGGCCAGCACCTAGCACCCAGGTGTCACTACTGTAAGAACCAACACAACAGCCTTTACTGAGGGCTTCCTCTGTGCCAGGCACAATGCTCAGCACTTTCAACATACTATACTAGTTTCTTACTGCTGCTGAAACAAAGTCTCACAAGCTTATTGACTTAAAGTAATGAATTAATTTTTTTACAGTGCTAGAGATCAAAAGTCTGAAATCTGTTTCACTGGGCTAAAATCAAGGTGTTGACAGGCTAGCGTTCCTGCTGGAAGCTCTAGGGAAGAATCCACTTCTTTGCCTTTCTAGATTCTAGAGGCCAACTACATCCCTTGGCTCATGGCCCCTCCTCTGTCTTCAAAGCCAGCAGTGTAGCATCTTCTCTCCTCTCTGGCTTCTGTCATTTTCCCTCTTTGACCCTGATCATCCTACTCCTCTTATAAGAACCCTAGTGATTACATTGGGCCCTCATGGATAATACAGGAGATTATCCTCACCTCCAGATCCTTAACTTCATCACCTCTGCAAACCCCTTTTCACCATGTAAAGAACATATTTGCAGGTTCTGGGGATTCTGATGTGGACATCTTTAGAGGTTATTATTTAGCCTACTACAAACATCATCTGATTTAGTCCTTACATGACAGTGCTGTGACATAGATGGCATGATTAACTTCATTGAGTAGACGTGCAGAGTTGCATGGCATACAGTAGGCACTTGTTCCACATTCATGGGAATGCTCTGGTGTGAGAGATGATTGGTAATATGTCATCCTTTCCTGGACCGAAGGCCTTGGGGGATGTATCTAGTCCTGTGTCTTCCCTGAAGTCTCCTCCCACAGTCCCCTCCACTGGGGGCAGATAGAGGCTCTGTCAGAGTGCATAGCTCTTCATTGTTCCCCCTAAGCTTTCTCTGCCTCCCCAGTGAGATCTCCATCTCCTTCAGTGCAAGGACCAACTCTCTCAGGTATTCCTAATTCTTTGGCTCTTCCCACACTGCCACGGGCTTTCACAGACATCATTTTCTCCCTTTAGTCCTTGCAAGAAGGGAGCATATGCCCATTTTGCAGAAGAGCAAAGTGAATCTCAAGGTAGATGCAGAGTCAGTTCTTAACAGGCACTGGTTGATGGGCTCTGTCTTGCTCCCAACCCTTCACCTAGTGACACCCAGCACAAGGGACTTTTTACATCCCCAGCAGCCCTCGATCCTCTGACTCAGCTCTGCACTTGGCTGAATTGCGTTGCCTTCCTCACCTCTTTTGGATATCCTTCCTGCAGTGCGCTTGGGCACACACACTGCCCTGGCCCCCAGTACCTTGCCAGGACTGGTGCTTTACACAGTTCTTACTCTTCCCCCACTTCTTCTGCAAAATGCTCATCTTAGCCACACTTTCCACCCCCCCTCCTGCACACATAACCACCAGACTTACACATCACGCACAGCTCCCTGAGCCTTCAGAGGTAACAATGGATTCATCTGAGTTTCCTTTTAGTAGAAACACTTTGTGGTCACCCTGGCAGTGATTAAGAGCTGGAATCAGACTGCCTAGATTGCAGTCCAGGCTTTACCACTCGTCAATTGTGTGATTTTCAGAGAGTAGATTAATTCATCTGAGTTCAGTTTTCTTGTTTGAAAAATGAACAATAACAGTACTTTTCCCACACAATACCTGGCAGATGCTATTATTAAAAAAAGATTTGCATAGAGGTCCAAGCTTCCTCTTGTTGCCTGTTTCCCCATCTCTGCCGTAGCCCATCTCCCTTCCTAGACAACTCCATCACCCCGTCCTGCTGCGTGTTAACACAAATTCTCTGGAAGGGGTAGTGACAATGGTCATATACCCTTTAGGGGGTGTTTAAGCTGCTGTGTCTCTTCCCAGGACCATTTCTTTTTAAAACCTCATTTTAAATCACAGATGGGAGATCCAGATCATATGCTAATGGGAATTAATTCATGGGTGATCAGATGAAGGAGGCATTGGAGCAGGGGCACTCCCCACTCCTCTGGCATCCCACCAAATAGTCATCTTTCCAATCCTTTCTTTTTCCATTTAATTCATGGGTGATCAGATGAAGGAGGCATTGGAGCAGGGGCACTCCCCACTCCTCTGGCGTCCCACCAAATAGTCATCTTTCCAATCCTTTCTTTTTCCAACATACGTTGGCTAAATGGGGGAGAGGACCTCGAGGAGATTCCATAGAAGGCATTCCTGGATGACTTAATCTCTGGGCCTTGCTTCTCGAAATTCCAGCCAAATCAGCTCTACCCTTGAAAGGATGGAAGAAATATCAGCATTCCAGAAGTTCCTTGTCATGACCAGGCTTTTAATCATTTGACACTGGAGAATCGGCATCCCCAGTGCTGTGAGGCTTGTGGGATTGGGCTGTTGTGAGAAAGCAGGGAAGGGTCTCAGAGGTCTCTTGCCTCCGTCCCACGCAAGTCTTTCTGGCCTGCAAATCCCTCTGAGGAGAGCAGACCTTGAGAGTTAACGCAAAGTGCACTCGGGCGATCAGCACCACGGACAGCGGCCAGGGCTCCCTGGAGACCCAAAGCCGGGGAGGGTGCGAGGAAGTCAGGCAGGAGCTGAGTTACAAGCGGGCGAGGGACCTTGCAGGGAGAGGGAAGACGTGCTGCTGGTGGAGGGGTGTCAGCTGGGCCTTTTGCAGCTGAGTCACCCCGTGCGCCGCGAGTTGGTGTCGGGCCTCGGAACGCTGAGGTTCTCCCCGCCCTTTCCAGGAATGGTTTGGGTGGGGACAGAAGGGGAAGGCGCCATGCGAAGGCCCCTGGAATTCTGCAGGAGACAGGGACGTGCTGGTGTCCCCCGTGCGCTCTCGCTCCGGCCCTGCCCATTACTGTACAAGGCCTGCTCTCCGCAGCCTCCGCCCCGAGAGGACTCATTGCAGGCGGGGAGGGATGCATTCCCGGGCCCTGAGCTCAGCGGACTGGAATGTGGTTCCTAAATCAGAGATAAACCCGCAGGATGGGGCCGGCCGGACACCCAGCCAGGGATAAAAGGCTGCGTTGGCCGAGGAGGAGCCAGGAGGTGGTACGTGAACCCCAACGGAGCACGGCAGCAGCAGCAGTCTCCACCTGTCCCTCCAGAGACATGGACCCCCAGATGACACCGCCCCGGGCAATCCTGCTCCTCCTTTTCTTGCACCTGTTGCCACTGGGAGGCCTTTCTCACCCACTGGGCGGCCCTGGCCCGGCCTCGTCTGGGATAACGGTGAGCACTGAGAGACTGCATAGACAGGGCAGGTACCGAGGGCTTGGCAACAGAAATTAACAGGTCCCCACCTACTGTCCCAAGGAGTCCCCACCTTCCTTTGGGAATTTGTGAAAAAAGAAGCAGAAAGCAGCGAGATTGGGTGCCAGGACCCCATACCCAAGCGGTTGGTTCACTGCGTGCCATGAAGGTGGGCAAGCCACGGTGTGGGTTCCTGAGGCTCAGTCTCCCCTACCCGTTGCAGGAGCTGCCGGACAGTCTGCAGGACAAGGTCCCGGAGCTGCAGGCAGAGAGGATGGTCCTGGAAACCCTCCAGCAGGGCATTGGCCCCACAGAAGCTTGGGAAGCCCGGGAGGCCCAGGTTACCCCTACAAGCATCTTTGGGCCTGAGGACGTCTTCCAGGCCCTGTGGGGAATATCCAGTCGCAAGACAAAGCGTGCCTCAGGCTGCTTTGGGCGGAGGCTGGACCGGATCAGCTTCCACAGTGGCCTGGGCTGCAATGGTAAGCTGCCACCCTGTCACCCACCCTCAGCCCCGCAGCCCCACCCCACTCCCAGATGTGCCACCGTTAGAGCCACATCTGTGTTCATTGTCTCTGAGTTCCACACTCTTTGGGAACATCGCTCCCTCTTGCCAATAGTCTTCAGGACCAAGGAGTGCCTTTCTGGAAATATTCAGTGTGGACCCCACATGCCCATGAGTCCCCACCCACCATCTCTCCACCCGCTACCTCTCCTATTAAAGGGTGTAGAATCTCCTTAGTGTGGAGTCTGTCATTGTCTGGCAGCCCCTCCTTGGAACAGAAAGAGTCCTATGCATTATTCCTCCTGGTTTCCCCGAAACTGTCTACAGAGGGCAGGATCACCAGGAAGTTGGAAATCCCCAGTTAACAGATGAAGAAACTGAGGCCCAAAGCCTCAAACGTTAAGATCTGCTGAGGACTAGGGGGTTGGGGGGTGGTGCCTGGTGAGGAGGAGCCAGCTCCTGCCTCAGTTTCCCACCCTAACACCATCATTACCCTCTCTCTTCTCCCCACAGTGCTGAGAAAGCATTGAGAGGAAGTCCTGGCTGCAGACACCTGCTTCTGACTCCGTACAGGGCTCTTTCCCCAACTCCACAACCCCCTTTGAAGTGACTCCTATTTATTTATTTTAATTAATTTATTTATTAGGTTGTTTTATATAAGATGGTTTCTTACCTTTGAGCACAACATTTCCACAGTGAAATAAAGTCAACATTATAGCTTTTCCTTGTGAAACTGATTTGTCTAGGTGCATTAAAAATAATCTCTCATTTCAAACAAAACAAAACAAAACAAAAAACACAAAATCCTGCGTTTTCTTGAAGGTTCCCAATGGCATCTTCATGGTGAGGTAGGGACATGACCTCAAGTTCAGATCAAGTGGGTTGGTGGAGTTTCTTTTCTTTCAGGGTGTTTAATGCTCTGGAATGTCTACAAACACTTTGAGCCCTTGAAACACTTGCAGAAACTGTCTTTCATAGCAGGGCAGTTTCTTTCTGGGGGTGGAGCGGGCCCTGATATATCCGCGCAACCTAGGATGTGTGTCCAAGCGTTTGCCCCACTGGGCTTTCCTCTGCCTACACTTCCACCATTAAAGTTCTCTCCCTGATGATTCTTGTTTGCAAAAGGTTTAACTCAAGTGTCAGAGACTGAGGGCAGTGCGTGTGTGTGTCTTGCACACTGGCCATTTGCATTCCTAATGGGGGTGAGTTCTCCATCCTGCCCCAAATCTCAGCTTCAAACCTTCCATTCCTGATCCCATCCTGGAAAGGAGCCTTCAAAACCCCAGCCCACAAGGTGGGAGGAGTCTGAAAAGAGGCCCAGCTTTTCAGGGAGCCACTCTCCTGGGGCCACATCGTCACTTCTTCCATAAGAGACAACCATAAGGCTCCTACTGTGTTGCTTTGACTGGCAGGGAGTCCTGGGAGAGGTAGCTGCCCTCTCCTCTGTGGGTTCCCTTCCCACACATCTGTGATCCAGGCATGCCAGGCCACACTGCTGAGCCTCCTCTGCTCCCAGGCTCCCAGGGAGGGCCTCATGCTATTTTCTTCCCCATACTGCTGTTCATGATTCAGGCTCAGCTGAGGGGTAAAGGACCACGAGGTCAGTGTCCTGTTATAGCCCCATTTCCCAGATGAGAAAATCGAGACCTAGAAAAAACAAGCATCCTACCTGAGAGCCTGCAGCCACTAAGTGCCAGCACTGGGATCTCACTCCTGGCCTTGAACTGGGCTCTCATGGTCTTTCTGATATTCTCATCTGATGTTTCTTTGAGTGAGAAGGCACCAGAAGTGGTGGGTCTTTGTGTTATTTGTCATTTTAATTCAGTGTGCATCAGAGATTATGGATATCTTATGAGATCAATTAAGATTTTTTAAAAACAGGTTTTAGGAGCAGCTTATTTTCCAACAAACTGTGAGTCATCTTTGTATAATGTTCTCAACCAGGGAGGGCAATGAGTAAGTAGAACGGTTAACGTTTATAAAGGCCTCATTAATGTACCAGGCACTGTTCCATTAACTCATATAATCCTTACAACACCTCTAAGAAGTACAACTCTTATTATCCCTCATGTTATAAATACGGAAACTAGGGGCCAGCCCGTGGCTCACTCGGGAGAGTGTGGTGCTGATAACACTAAGGCCACGGGTTCGGATCCCTATATAGGGATGGCCGGTTAGCTCACTAATTGTGTGGTGCTGATAACACTAAGGCCACGGGTTCGGATCCCTATATAGGGATGGCCGGTTAGTTCACTAATTGAGCGTGGTGCTGACAACACCAAGTCAGGGGTTAGGATCCCCTTACCGGTCATCTTTTAAAAAACAAAACAAAACAAATGCGGAAACTAAGGCACAGAGAAGTTATGCACTTGCTCTGGGTCACGCAGTTAGTAAGTGGCAGAGCCAGGATTCAAGCACCCAGGCCCCTAATCACTGTCCCACCCAGCCTTTTCCAAGCCGGTGAATTAGGCTTGCTGGAGAGATGGAAGACCCCTCCTCCTGGAATCACTCAGTTCAACACTTGGTGCCACTGCCTGCTGACAGTCTGTCTCCTCTGCTCAGGTGATGAGGACACGCCCTCCCAGAACACTCACTGTCCAAACCCAGCCAGCGCTTCAGAATTCTTCCAGGTGAGTCTGGCTCGTCCATAAATAGGGCTCAGACGATGGAGCCTACACATGATACATCCTGTTCCTTGGGTCTTTCCCCAGCAAAGGTCCAGGAAAGAGGATCCCAGAGTGAGCTGTGAAGTAGCCAAACATGACTGCTGGAGCCTGGGTAGTGGGTGGCCTGATGTATCCAATAGAGTGACATTCCATCGAGCTCCCCATGTGGCTGGTGTTTGTGGGCAGCACGGAGCGCGTGCACTGTCTATGGGTGCCTTTAAAGCCAGCCCTTCCTAATGTTTCCCTTTGTAGCTGTAGCCATGGCCTTGACCTTTCCAACTTCTCCATTATCAATCTCGTCTCTAATTAAACTGCCAAATGATCTCTCTCCAGAGACTCTGTTACTTTATTCCCAGAAAGACCTGTTGATGAAAACACACCCAAGGAGGTTTGGTGCATGGCTTCAGAGCTAAAAGGAGTTTTAGTAGAGGGCGGACTGGCTTTGCTGGGTGTCAAGTGCTGAGGTGACAGAAGTCAGGATAGCACTGGGCCTGAATGCTTCACCTCATGTCAGCAGTTCTGCACCTGTGACATTCTCAAAGAATGCTGAGCCCTTTTCCATCCCTTTTGTGGCAGCTTCAACCCTTCTGAGAATGATTTGTGGCAAGGAAAAAACTCCCCACATTTCTTTAGGGGCTGAACCAAATCGTGAACTTGGCCATTCGCCTTTGTTCATGCTGTAGCTCTCAGCCTTCTACGCTTTTCTCTCCAGGAGGTTTCACCTACTGCCCTAGCTTAAATAATCAGTCCTGTTCCACTAAGCAACCCATTTCTCTTGGGTTGGGAGCTGGCACCATACAGCTGCCTGGCTCCCACCATCCTGTCCCTGGCTCTTGTGTCTCTGACACTGCGAGACCCTAGCCCCTGAGCCCGCCGCTTCAGTGCACGCCAGCCCTGCCTCCGTCCAGCAGCACCATGCTTTTCTGCCTGAGCACTTTCTCGGGCAACCAGAGCCCACTTGGCTCCTTGCGGCAGGCAGGTGGTGCTGGGGAATTAACAATGACCAGGAGTGGTGCTCAGCCAACATCTGGCAGGAGTCGGTGTTTAGAGACCCAGCTCCCTCAATTCACAGGGGGCAAGTGTTTTAGGCCTGGGTGGAGTTCTCTGTGGGGAGGAGGTTTAAGCTCCATTTACCCCCTATAGTCACTTCCCCACTCTCCTTCTGATGTTTCCTGAGATTGTTTCCAAAATGAACCACTTATACTTGAATCCGTGTCTCAGGTTCAGGAGAACTGTAACTAAGACACTCCCAATGATTAAACCTTCTCCCAGAGCCCCACCCTTGATGACTGGAGCCCGTGGAATCTTCCTTGACTCCGTTCTCTGCTGGACGACCACGTCCACTGCCTCCTGCCATGTGGCATCTCCTCTCTGTGCTCTTTCCCTTCCCTTGCTGGTAGAGACCCTCACCCTCCTGCCCATGTGGCTGCCCAGCTTTCTTTCTTTTTTTTTTTTTTTTAAAAAAAGATGACCGGTAAGGGGATCTTAACCCTTGACTTGGTGTTGTCAGCACCACGCTCACCCAGTGAGCAACCGGCCATCCCTGTATGGGATCCGAACCCGGGGCCTTGGTGTTATCAGCACCGCACTCTCCCGAGTGAGCCACGGGCCGGCCCTGCCCAGCTTTCTAACTGGCCTCCCACTCCAGCCTCCCTGATCTGGTTCCTTCTGCATCAGGGGAGAGAGCAGAACCTTCATGCTTCAGCCAGAGGGTGACTCCCCCTCCTCGTGAGATCCCCAGGGAGGACAGGGGCAGTGGTGGCCACTTAGGTTTACGTAGGGAGGGATGTGGGTAGGAGAGGCACCAAAGGCAAACTCGCTGATTCAGTCACTCAATAAATATTTCCTAAAGAATAGGTATGCGCCAGCTCTGCGCTAGGTGCTGGGATACACGGGTGTCTGAAGCTGTCTCGCACCTGCTCGGCTCACCATTGCCTCTGGCCTCTCAGCAAATGCAGCTTTAACAATGGCTGACGAGGTGCCCATGGCTGCTGTCTGCCCCCTCCCACCTCCTATACCAAAATGCACCCACAAGTGACATCAATTGGCAAGGAGAGATTGCCAAGCCGGTCCGTGGGAGGACTGGACCAAGGAGTCTCTGGCTTCCCAGACACTGCCTGGATGAACAGGGTAACATAGCCCAAAAGTGCATGGAGTCAATGGCCACGGGGCGGGGAGGGGTGCCTTGACCAGTGAGAGACGGGGGGTGGAAAGGAGCCCATGGATAAAGTGCTTATTATGGGTTGAATTGTGTCCCCTCAGAAGATATGTTGAAGCCCTAACCCCCAGAACCTCAGAATGTGAAAAAAGAGGGCTGAGCCCGTGGCGCACTCAGGAGAGTGCAGTGCTGGGAGCACAGCAGCGCTCCCGCCCGCCGCGGGTTCGGATCCTATATAGGGATGACCGGTGCTCTCAGCACTCACTGGCTGAGCGCAGTGCAGCCGGTCTCAAAAAGGACAAAAAAAAAAAAAAAAAAAAAAAAAAAAAAAAAAAAAAAAAAAGAATGTGAAAAAAGGCCACTGCAGATATAATATGGAAACGAGATCATCGTAGACGTGATTAATTGAGGTGAAGTCATACTGGAGCAGGGTAGATTGCTAGTACGACATGACTGGTGTCCTTATGAGAACAGGAGAAGAGACGCAGAGATGGAGGACGGCCCTGTGGTGGCGGAGGCATAGATTACAGTGACACAGCTACAAGCCAAGGAACACTGAGGATCACGGGCAGTTACCAGAAGCTGGAAGGCGCAGGGAGCGATCCTCCGTTACAGGCTTCAGAGAGCATGATCCTGCCGACACCTTGATTTCTGCCTTCCAGCCTCCAGAACCACAAGGCAATCCACTTCTGTTGTTTTAAGCCCCAGGTCTGCGGGACTCTGTTACCTGCAGGATGCCACCTGCTCGTCCCCTTCTCTCCTCACAAACTGCTCCTAGGTGCTGTCCTGCATGAAGCTCTCTGTGGGTGCCCCCACAGCAGCCCAACCACTGCAGTGTTTTGGCAAAGCCATGGCCAGTAGGGTAACATGTCACTTTCCATTTGCTCTCCCTCCTTCCCCACCTGCGTGGCAGCCTCTGGGATGGCCCCCGTGATCGCCACCTCCTGGGATCCATGCCTGTGTGTGATCCCCTCCCTTTGAGTATGAGCAGGACCTATGACTCACTTTTAATGAACACTTTCAACAAAAATGATGGGATGTCACTTCCAGGATTAGGTTACAAAGAGACTGTGACTTCCACAACTTCTTTTTTTAAAATGTATTTTATTTGGTGGCTGGCCAATGTCACATCTTCTTTCTTTCCTTCTCTCTCTCTTGCTTGACCTAAAGGGAGTCTGTTGTGTCTTTGTGGAGAGGCCCACAAGGCAAGGAGCAGATGCTTCCAGCCGACAGCCGGGGAGGACAGTCGGGGAGGACCTGAGGCCTGCTGACAGCCACAGGAGGGAGCTTGAAAGCAGATCTTGCCCCAGCCAAGCTTTGAGATGATGGTAGCTCCAGACGACATCTTAACTGTGGCCTGGGAGAGCCCTGAGCCAGGGTCACCCAGCTGGCAGGGATTCCTGATCCACAGAAACTATCAGATAGCAGATATGAGTTATTTTAAGGTTTGCTAAGGTCTGGGATACTTTGTTACGCAGAATAGTTAACCAATACATTATCTCACTTCCCTTTCCCCCTCACTCTGGAACCCCCATAAAGCTTTAGAAAGTGAACTTTTCCCTTAGGCTTTCTTTTCTAGGAACTCCAACTTCCAGCACCCCCGTGACCTCCATATTGTATGAAAGAAATGAAACAGCAATTTCAAAGTCAGAAACAACCATTCCTAAATGGGCAACAGGGTCCTACCAATTTCTCCCAGCTGGGACTTCTGCTTTAGACCATTTGAGTCTGGCAGAGTCATGCCCTGAACGTGACAGGTTTTTCATACCAGTTCTGCACATGCGTGACACCGCTGGAACTCTGTGGCTCCCTGCTGCAGCCCACAGCTTCTCCATGGAGAGCTGAGAAACCAAACTCGGGGCCGGAAACTGGAGATGCCCAGATTCTGGTTTCCTGCACCCATTTGCAATGCTCCTTCCGTCATGTCACCGAGACGACTTCTCTCCGGCGATAAGGAAACAGGCTTTTGATTTTTCAGCTGGCAGGGGTCGGGGGGTGGGGGGGTGGCCTTATGCACCTGCTGCTTCTCTTCTCTCTCATTCCTGCAGGCTGGCTCTAAACACCCCGTTAAATATTAGCTCTCACACACACCCCAAAGTTGAGCAGGGGCATGGAAATGAGGAGAAACTTTTGTCAAGCTGCTCTCCATTTCTGGCTCAAATCAATGGCTTTAATAGGATTTGGGGTGATAAGTGCCTTTGGGAACTGTCTGCATTTTCGCTGGGCCCTGCTGGTGCAGGAGGTGATGGCGGTTCTGCATAAAGCCCTCAGGGCAGCACGACTGAATAACCTTTTTCTTGTCCTGGATAATAGAAGAAACTCAACAACTGACACTCATGTTCCACTCCAGTTTCCCTCTGGAAGAGGCAAAGAAACTTTAATAAAGGGAAGTGGACAAATTCTGAAATTCCCTTTCTGGAACGTTGGACAGGACTTCCGCTTCTCCTTGGGCCACCTACAGACTTCAGAAGTGGCTCAGGACAGGGGAGCTGCATCAGCCAGTGCAGAGGCCACCTGCCTCCATGCCTTTCCGGAAGTCTTGGTCTGCATCAGAGGCCTGTCTCAAAGGGCATCTGCGGGAGACAGGCTGTGTGACGCACGCAGAAGGAGCTGTGTCCCCCAGTGTGGCTTTCTCGCTGAATCCTCTTTGCTAATAATAGCGTGCCAACCGAGCAATTAAGCTGTGAGCACATTCCAGGGACTCATCAGGATACGATCAATTTTTGTCCCCAGAGTTCCTACGTAGAGCTGCACCCATTGCAGATCTTAAGCTGAATTGGGCTGATTCAAATCAGTAGCCCAAACCCCCCAGCTTGCTGAAGAGGACCCCTCTTTTCCTTCCATCTTAGCATAATATCACCCTGGATACCTCTTGTGACCTCTGGCCACTTACTGCCCCGATTTCCTGCCTTATAGCTGCATAACAGCCTCTCCATCTGATCAACCACGGTTAGCACAGCTGGGGATGGACATGCCTGGGATGGAGCTGGGCTTTCAACACACATTTTCTGAGCTTCCAAGGAGTAGGTTAAAACATGTGAGGTGTGGAAATAGGTCGTGGGGATTGGATGTCGCCCTTTCCTTGAGGCAGTCCGAAAGGAGAGAGCAGCCACACACACACACACACACACACACACACACACACACACACACACACGAACTTGTCCAGCTCACAAAGCTATAGCCCTGGGACACGGGGGACAAGGAGCCACTCAGGGGTCTGTGGGGTGAGGAAAAGGGGTGTGTTTAGCTGGGGAATGCACCTAAAGGGCGAGGAGGCAGCAGTCTATGTGAAATGGGTTAAGAATGTGGATGCTAGTGTCAGACCTGGGGTTCAGTTCGGGTTCTGGGACTCACAAGCTCAGTGGCCTTGGGCAAGTGACAACCGCTCAGTCTCAGCTCTGTCCCTCTGTAAATGGGAACGTTACTACCCCCTCTTGGGGGTGAGGATGAAAGTGAAATCATCCGCACGAAGCTCTCTCACGGTGCCTGGCTCATTGCAAGTGGTCAGTAAGGGCAGCCATTGTCACCATCTTGCGATCACAGAGCACTGCCTGCTTGAAAACGAGTTCACGCTTTCTTAGCTCGGTCGAGCCCTGCAACACTCTGAGAGGTGGGGAGGGCAGGTTTTCCTCATTTTCCAGATGAGGAAAATGAAGCCCCGAAGACATGTGCGACCGGTTTGTTTTGGGCTGCAGCGCGGGTCTCTCGACCCCTCACGTTTAGCATTCTTCCCCCGCATGCGCTGCGCCATGCGCTCATGCTGAGTTCGGTGCTCAGCGAATGGACAATGCCCAGTAACTGGACAGCCTCGCTGCCTGTTATTTCTCTTTTGGAGACTTCGTGGCTCAGTCCCTTGCCTGGCCTCAGTGAAGGACACAGAAGGTGTTAAGGGAAATTGTGGATGCCACCTCCCCCCAGCCCTCTCCATCCGCCTACTTGCCATGGAAGCTTTCCTGGGAAGGGCAGGGGGGTTGCAAGCTTCGAACTCAAAGCACTTGAGCTTCTATAGGCAGTGAGGTGGGGAAGTGAAAACAGCAGCGTCCCCTAAGCATAGTCCCCTCAACGCCTTGGGGGGGTGTCGTGGGGGACGTGAAGCAGGAGGAGCTTTGGAGGGAAAGACTGTGTGTTCCAGACTTTTCCCGGTGTTTCTGTTTGGGAGCTGAATTCTTGGCCCTTCACTTCTGGTTCCCGGCTGACTTCATACTCTCAAAAATGCCTCCTCTCCCCTGGCCGTGGAGTGGCCTGCCAGGGCCGAGGGTGGCCGCGCTGGTGAGTCAGGTGGGGGGCTGGCTCATCTGTGCCGAGCTGCCCAGCGCCTGCCACTTCCTCCTCTCCCGCCCTTATTTGGAGCCCTGACAGCTGAGCCACCATCAAACTGGGGGAGCTGGGCACCTGCCAAGAGCCCAGCATCACCCTCCACTTCCCCACATGAGTCCAGTGAGGAGAAAGAATCCTGAGGCACAGCGGGGAGATAACCAAGGACTCTTTTTTGCTCTTCTCACACCTTTGAAGTGGGAGCCTCTTGAGGCAAATCAGCAAGAATGTGGCTCTTGCAGCCGAGGGTCTGGGGGGCTGTCGGGGCTGCCCAAGGCGGAGGGGCTGTGACGAGCTCTGCTGGACTGATAACTTTAAAAGGGCATCTTCTGCTGGCCCCTCACTCAGCTGCTTTATCGCTGCAAGTGACAGAATGGGGAGGGTTCCAGCCCTCTTGCGTGCTCAGAGAGCTGGGGGGCTATAAAAAGAGGAGGCGCTGGGCAGCTGGGAGACAGTGACGGACAAGGGTGAGGGGGGAGACCAGAGAGGAGAGACAAGAGGCAGCAAGCACTGGATCGCTCCTTGGCCAGCGCCAGCATGGGCTCCTTCTCCACCATCACCGTGAGCTTCCTCCTCTTCCTGGCATTTCAGCTTCCAGGTCAAATGGGAGCTAACCCCGTGTACAATGCTGTGTCCAATGCAGACCTGATGGATTTCAAGGTAGGACCAGGAAAGGGGGCACAGCCTGCGACCAGGGGGCTTTCTGATTCTGTATTCATTCTTCTTGATTTTCTCTAAGTCAGTGAGACCTCTCTCTTTCCCTGTATTTTCCTTTTGTAAAGAATTTACTGGACCGTCTGGAGGACAAGATGCCTTTAGAAGATGAGGCCATGCCCCCACAAGTACTAAATGAGCAGAATGATGAAGCTGGGGCAGCCCTCAGCTCCGTCCCTGAGGTGCCTCCCTGGACTGGGGAGGTCAGCCCAGCCCAGAGAGAGGGGGGTGCTCTCGGAAGGGGCCCCTGGGACTCCTCCGATAGATCTACCCTCCTGAAAAGCAAGCTGAGGGCACTGCTCACTGCCCCTCGGAGCCTGCGGAGGTCCAGCTGCTTCGGGGGCAGGATGGACAGGATTGGAGCACAAAGTGGACTGGGCTGCAACAGCTTCCGGGTAAGAGGAACTGGGGATGCAAATGGGATGGGGAGGAAGAAAATTGTGGTTTTGCTGAGGTTCAAATCTTGTCAGAGAATACTACCAGGGGACACCTTCAGCAGGAAAGGGACCAGTGTAGAAGCTTGTTCCTTCTGAAATTTCTGCCCCAACTTGGTGGGTGGCGCACGAGTCTCAGGACAATAGTGTTATCCTCAGCTACAGCCTGCTGAGAAAATGCTTTTAAAAAAAGTTACTATCACTAGCACCAGGATATTAAAATATTCATAGGGTCAAGTCATCTTTGCACTGCTGATTGGCAGCTCATCTTCCTCCCCAGAATTGCAAGATCCTGAAGGATTTCAATGGAAGTCACCAGGATTGTCCTTATTAGCGCTAATGAGTCATTTGTTTACCAATTTATGAAACTTAGAAGGTCATCAGGCTGGAGTGGGAGCTGGTGGGTAGCAGCTGGTCAGTGGTCAAGCTAAGAGGTTTGGCACAGTCATATGAAGCTGACTTTTCCAGTAGAGCCAGGTCACCAAGCCAAGTATGTTTGTGTTCTCTTTGTAGTACCGAAGATAACAGCCAGGGAGGCAAAGGCGGGCCAGGCCCTGGGGCAGACCGCAAGAGACTCTTATCGTCTGGGGTCTCTCATGCCACTGCGTCTCATCTCATTGCCGTGGAGTTGTGATGAGCACCCTATTCGAGCTGCAGCATCCCGTCAACGTTTCTCACATTTTATGCTAAATGTAGATAAAGTGGTTTAATTGTAGCATTCTCGTCTCTCCCACCCCATGCATTAAATTTTAGGGGAGATCCTCACCTGTTAACTGAAACTGGTTTGAAATGAATAAACTTCAGCACCACGGACAGAAGTCAAAGCTTGAATTGTGATTTCTTTCATTTTAGAGGAAGAGAATTCAGTCCAATATTCTTTGTCATTTTAACCTTTGTTGGAGAAAAGAATGCTTGGTTTCTTTCATCCTCCTTTATATTTCTCCTTTTTTTTTTTTTTTTTTTTTTGCAGGGGAGGGGGTGCGGAGCTGGTGGGGGGCCTTAAATTGCAGTTCTCAACCTGCTCTGCCTTTTACTCCAGCCACAGTCACAGATCCTGAAAAAGCCCCAGGAAACCAAAAGGGTATTTATTTTTATTCAGATTTGCTTAAATTCAGGGCACTCATTGAAAAGAAAATTTACAAACATTTGGACTTTCTTGGTTACCTCTGTTGTACTCAGTAGACAATTTTGCACTTCTAGTGCTTTTCAGTTACAGGGATTTTTTTTTTTTTTTTTTTTTGAGCACATTTGGGAAGTGAGCACTAACTAGATTTTCTGATACAGCTTGAGAGTCAGCTGCTGCAACTAAGTGGACTGCACTTTGACTTTTGAAAAGAGTAAGTTGAGTGTTGGGTTTAAAAGGTGAGCAATCTGAAGAAATGTTTGCTGTGCTGACAAACTGCAAGTTTGTGCCTTTTGTGTACAGACACACACATTTGAGAAATAGCCATGGTCTTTCCCAATTCAGATCCAAGGTGCCTGTACTTGTAGATTTTAGTGAGGTGACAGCCACTAGAGAAGATGCAGGTTTCTTTGTATTTGTTTCTGAAAGGGTGTTGTCCTAAGCAGAAAATACCAGGCACCAAATTCACATTAAACAGGGAGTAGTATCCTATCTTCCCACTTGTCACCCCATACATCCCACTCTCCATAACATTCTATGACACTCTGACACCCCAGACCTACATGTTTGCTTCTGTGTGCCCTTATTTCTTCTGTTCCTTCCATCTGGAATGCCCTGTACGTGGTCCTCCTTAGCACATTCTACTCCATCCTAAAGGCTCACTGTGAATGCCACTTCTTCCCCCAAGCTTTCCCTGATACCATGTGTCCAGTAAAAATTAGTCTCTTCACGGGTGACATTTAGTATGGAACTATTATGACACAATTTGCCTCATATACAACTGTGTGTATCTACGTCCCTAGAGTGCAAGCTCCTTGAGGGTGAATGCCCCTTCAGCACCCCCACAGTCGATGCTCCATAAATGTTGGTCAAATTGCCTTGTCTTGCACAGAAATTGCAAAAAGAGAAAACAAAGTAGCCATTTGCTCCTTGTAGGGGAAGGGGCGGCCAGAAGTGAGCTGATGGTAAGGGGTGGAGGTGGGGAAGAACTTTAACCACTTCCAATCAAAATGTTCCTTACTTGGACTTCAAATTCAGAAGGGCGGAAACCAAGAAGCCGAGAATGACTAACAAGGACAAGGGTAAAAGAGACAGGAAGAAACTAAACCTGGCTCCTGAGGTCTGGCACTGGGGAAGCGTGAGTTGCTGGGAGGGGGAGAGCAGAGAGCTGGGCACACTCCCAAGGCGTCACCATGACACAGAGGGTTCACACTGAATGGAACTGACTGAATGTGACAAATACACAAGGCAGAAAATGCTCCTGGAACTCAGAGGAAACTTGTGGGTAGGTGGGGGAGCCTGAGACTGTTTCCACCTCTGGTGGAATGGCAACTTGAAGCAGCCTAAAAAGAGGCCAAGGAAGTTGCATTTCTTGCAAAACAAAAAGCAATGACAGATGGCACTGAAAAGCTAGCCACAGGCCTTCACGACGACAGATCCAGCATTGATTTAATTTCTTCTGGTTGGATACCAGGGGAATCTGTGGGGCAAGTTCCTAAATACAGCATTGCCAGGAAACAAAATGAATTCTCCATCTATTACTCTGGGCAGCAGCCACCGACAGGAAAAGGTGGTTTTCGCAGGAGGAAAGGATCAGCAAACAGGACGGAGCAGTGTTCATTTGAAGGGAGAAACAGGACAGTGGTAACTTGGAGATTTTTGCTAAGATCCACAGTGCTAAGTCCATTTTTATGTGTAATAGGCAACCACCTTAATAAATGGACTCCTGTGAATGAAAGACCCGCTGGGCAGCCATGTGAGATGCTAAGACTACAAACTACCTTCTAGCACTGCAATTCTTACACAGTAGAAAGAGGGGGATTAAAATAAAAACCAAGCACCCCTCAAAAGAAAGAGCACCATGGAGACCAAAGGATAAAGGAGATGGATGAAGACATTTTATTCTCACATGTTACGGTTACGAGAACTTTCAAGTTCAAAAAAAAAAAAATAGAATTTTACAAATTAAAAAAAATACAACTTATATACACTGCAGAGTTAGCTAACATTACCATATACACAAACAGCGCACACAGAAAGAAGGAAGCTGCGACTGTTGAAAAGACCAAGGCCCGCAGGAGCCAGGGGGCAACACTGCACATCAGTACTGCAGGCCCAGGAGGGCCACTCTGGCCTTTTTGGAAGCTTCTTTGTCACAAGGGCCATGTCAGTGCACAATTCTGCATCAGAAATGTCATATGGTCCACTAGGTCAAACAAATGTCCACTCCAGCCAGGAACTGTTAAACAAAGTCATGAACAAATCATCCTGCAGAGCAGAAAGGTCCCACAGTCGGGAGTGGAGATCCGTCAGCCCCGCTCCCTGATCGCCTCAGCCAGGGAGCCACGAAATACCAAGCTGGGGACGAACACAGAAAACCACCTCTAGCCAACCCCAGATTCTCTTGTGTGGATGTGTTTTATTGAGGTGCCAGATCACTGGGAGGTGAGGAGCTAGTGACAAGTGAGATGCAGGTGCTGGCTCCTCTTGGACAGAGATGGAAGGAGTGAGGCTTAGTTATTTGTTATGGGTAGAGAAGTTGTGTCTTTGGGCTTATGTGGAAAGGGCAGACACAGACAGAGGGGGCAGGAAACCACACGCCTTTCCAGAGGGGCCTGAGTTTGGGTCCTCCTTGGCAGTCATCCAGTTGGTTGAGGCGGGGCAGGGATATTTGCATTCTGCTATCTCTGGGCTACACTGATGGGAACAAACTATCTGGTGACTTAAACACAACACGATGTGCACGAGGAATAAATTCCAACGATGTTCACCCGGGCAGGCCCGAGGCAAGAGACCCAGGCCTCTAGAGCCCAGGGCCATCCTGCAGGGCGTTAGCTCTGCCAATCCCAGAGAAGAGTGGAAAGAGGGGACAAAGTAACAGGTGGTCATGCCAGACTCCTGACTTGGACGATTGGGTTCCTTCTTAACAGAAGAACGAATGTGGTCAAACTCTGAATGCCACCATAAAATAAAGCGGCAGCGAGGTGAACACAATCGCATTTAAAAGGGTTTGCCTTCTTGGTCCTTGTGATTTCCTGAACTATTTACTGGGAGTATCATCCCCATTTCATAAGTCTGGTGCATCGAGGGAAGCTGAAAAATTCAGCAAAGTAATTTTGGTCAAAGAGGTAAGAAAATGGGAGGATTGGGGGGCGGGGGGCCGCATAGTCACTGAGAAAGATCCCGAAGCCACCCTCTCACTTAAGTGGAATTAGTCCCTAGGGTGTGCTGAGCATGAGACCTGGACCAGCAGAGCCAGCACTGACACCTGCCCCAGGCTGAAAGGCTAAGACAGTCACCCTGAGGCTGAGGGACAGGGAATGGCCTGGATGTGGATACCTTCAGGCAACTTCCATGGTTTAAAAAAACTAAATGCAAATGAATGCCATCTTGAGTCTCAAAGCATGTCTGCCACAGGGATGCTTGGTGGGACTAAGGTAAACAAGTCAGAGGGAGATAAGGGCAAATGCCTGAAACCCAGACACTCACTTCGGATGCCTACTCAGAGAGAGTGCCAACAGCCTGAAGGGGAGGGGAGTGGGTCCCTATGCTTAATGCTAAGACCTTCAGGCATGTGCTGGCAGGAGGCATCTCCCCCTTCCCACCACCCCACCCACCTGCCATGCAGCAGACCTTCTTGAAGTTTCTGAGCCCTCAGTAGGTTGGGGATGGCTAGCAGCAGGTGAGTGAGAGATGTTTGTGGAAGGGAGACATCCTCTGCCTCAAATAAACCACCTGCTTTATCCTAACCTGTACCTTTGAGTGGCCACTGGCTCAGGATTGACTCTTTTCCAACCTGTAAAAAACAGTACCATTCCTCAGAGTTCAGTGAAGCAGTTTTGTGTAGGGGAGGGTACCCTGCTTTTAGTTAACTTTGCTGGGTGATGCCAAGATCCTTGGAGCTTGGCTGCTTCCCTGGGAAGACAGAGATCAAACCTTAAGTTTAGTACATCACGGAGATGAAAAGGATCAGGAACGGACCAGGGGGGAAATGTGTTACTAGGAGACCATGAGTAATTTGCAAATAGAGAGAAAGCTGAAATGTTAAAAGTTAGGATAGACTAACTCCAACCCTCTTATCAGATTTACCGTTCAGAGATTACTAGTGGGATTTCAATGCTTTGTGTTTCTGCAGGGTGGTGGTTCTAAGGGGACTCAAACCGCAGGGTCAAGACCAGAGTACTTGCTCGTACCTAGGAAGCAGAACATTTCCCTTAAAATGAACTACAGAAAAGGTTGAGGTAAGAGTCCCAACAAAGGAAGGACTCCCTGAAACACGGGGAATTTTCAGTGCCCAATTCCTAAATTTAGTATTAATTTTGCAACTGGCATCCTCCCAGTGTGTGCCTTGGCCCAAGTCCCTCCCACAGGGTTTAAGGCAACAGCTGGGTTCTCTAGGAAGCAGCAGGGATGGGGCAGGAAACCTTCTCAGAGTGTCACCCCACGGGGTTCGGCCTGGCTCCGACCTCTGCTCCTGGCTTTAATGGGGGGCCTGAGGTGGGCCTTGGCCAACGCTGGATGGTAGGAACACAGGAAGCAGGGAACAGGGAGATACTCGTTAAGGAAGTTAGAAAAGTCCAAACTGTGTGGTTCAATATCACCCCAGGATCTCTGACCAGCAGTGTTCAATGACTGTAGGCTTTCCAAGTCGGGTGGGTGACTGAGAATCTTCTGTGACCTGGATCACCCCAGCCGG